TTACAATACTATATTTCTCCATGCCTCAAAAGATCAACCTCACAGCCTCAGGCTTTGGTCCAGACCACCACCAACTGTGCAGAGACCGATCAATTAGGTCAATCTTCTTGCAACTGGTGACGAAAAGAGTTCTGTAAAAGTAATAAAATACTTATGAACTGATTAACTGGACTGGCAATTGAGCTTAAACATTACCGAGTGATAAAAAAAACCTATGGCCACTATGACTATATGCATGAGCATCCGGGGGAGCGGGTATTGATTTTTGGTTCTCTTTTTTTCATTATTTTCCCAGACTGTAAAAGAGATGTATTCGCTGTTGGGCCTTGATAGACACATTTAAAAGTTCCATGGCTATGTGAAATATTTATAACTGAAAGCATTGTGAGTGCAGTAAAACAAATGGGAACTTTAACGAAAGAAACACAGGCGGGAAAAAAAAGAAAAAGACATTTCTTAAGCTTGAGATAGGTCACCCAACCAAGACCACCTCTGGCTAGTATACTCTTCTTTACCAGCAAGCAGAGTGCCTTTTCACACACAGCTGACTCTGGATTTTTACTGCAATCATACAATATCCAGAGTTCAGAGGCTCAGAATAGCAAGGTACACAGACAAGTTTTAAAACAGAAAAAAGGAAAATATAATGTCAAAACCGAGGAAGGTACTCTCACAAATTGAGTACAGGGTTAGAGCATACCTACGGCTTGTTGACTTTAGTCTGAACTATGGTTAAAAAGTTTACTTGTGTGAACTCAAGTAGCTCACTTGTTGGGTAGAATTTTGCCATGGCAGTGAAAAGTTTAGTTTAACTTTACTAAAGAATGATAAACATTACTGCATCTTTATATATACATGAAACATTTCTGATTTTAACTATGCTAGCAACAATATCTCAAGGATTGGATGGATTGGCATGTAATTTGGTGACATTGAATTTGATGATGGTTATTTTCACAGGACCATCTGGGAAGTCATCATTGGAAACTGTTTGGAAAAGGGCAGGCACTTTTGGAAAATACTTGGCATGTGGTAGGATGAACTGTCTGTCTATCACCATCTATACAGGCAAACTTCAACCAATCAGAACCTCTGATTTTGTAACCCTATGGAACCAGCAACGCTGTGTCACTTTCTAGCTTGATCAGGCACTGATTGAGATACTCTAGATCCAAACATGCTTGTTGAGCAGATATGCCAGTTTCACTGTTTTGTGCTCCACTGTCTCCCTTCAGTGCAGCCTCAAAAATGTAGTTAATCACATTCGCCATCGCCTCTGATGGCCTGACATTGTGCATTTCTTAGCTTTGATTTTAGGGACACTGGCCTTTAATATTAGGCAAAGACAAATATTTTATCTTTCCAATGGCGTCACCATATTCAGTCTCTGGTGTATGAAGCAACTTTCAGCTGCAGAGAGCAGATGTTTGCATGAATTAAATATCTGTTGAGGATGAAGTAGAGCAGTGGTGTACCGACTGAAAAGCCATTTTTTCTGTCACAGCTTAATAAATTCAATAAAAAGCACAAAACCTGAAATACTGCACATATGGACATGCTTTACATTATTTATCTCACAGTAAAGCATTGCTCCAGGTCACGAGCATCACTGCCAGCGACAGCTCACAGCGGAAACCTACAAATTCTTGTTACATGTATCATCTATACAGCGAATGAATGAGAATGGGAAATTGCTTTTGCATGCAGCTACAGTATGCAATTAACATTCATGGTGGAGGAAGAGAAACAGATTCAGAGCGTTATGGCAGACCTCCTGCTGTGGTTGTACATAATTGATGTACCAGAACCCTTAAAATACACTGTGTTCAGGCTCGAAGACACACTGGTGTCATTTAGAGAACTGCAGTTAGCGGTTGTTGGTAATGTAGCGGACAGACCACAAAGAGCTCAGTTCAAGGTCAGGACTTCTGAGGGATAAAAAAATCAATAGGTTTGTCTTGTTTCTGGATAGGTGCCACTGTGGACAACTCTGCTGTATGTGCACCTCGGAAAAGTCTGTTGGCAGCAGTATAGAGAAAAAGATCTGTTCATATGTATATTTAACATGAATAAATTGCAGAAAAACACCACAAAATCTTAAGATACAACATTTTATTATTGTCAGTCTTAAATATGAGCACACACTTTTCATCAAGAAAATACATATGAACCAACAATCCTTTACAATGCAGGGAAAGGAATAGCATGATGTCCCCCTCCACTTGGGAACAATCCGATCTGAAGAGTCCTGTGAACTTGTAGCCATACAAAGGGCAGAATTTCATTCATGTGAATCATCCAAAATAAATCCCAACAGTACATGAGACTACTTCATGCGTCTGCTATGATAATCCCCTGGTGGCTGAGACAAAGGTCTGATTTCTCATGTCAAACCAAAGTTCACATTCAAAAATGATCTCTTCTAGACTCCAATGCAAATCACACAAATGTCACAAAACACCTAAAATTAATAGTGGGAGGTGCAAAACAAGCTCAGTCATTTTTCTTAAATGGTATCAAATTTTCATCCAAAGACTGCTCTGTTGCCTTGCACATATGGAGACCAAGAAATACACCCATAGTGGTTCTTTCCCATCAGCCCGACCCATGTTTGCTTGGGCTGAGTGAGAGAATGAGTCCTGCAATCCTTGTGCAGTCTTCAAACAGACAATGGAATTGGTCATATCAACATAAATATGCAGCGCTACTGCCAAAATATAAGCCTTCATGGGCTGTGGTTCAGAATTGGCTGACTGGAGTCAGAAACAGGAAAAAAGTTATGTGTATTCAGGCCTTCTCAGTGCAGTTTCCTAGCTGAACTTTGAGGGTGGATCAGAAATATTTTACTAGTATATTTCTAAGATCCTCTCCCCGGGTTGCTAGGTTTTATCATTATAAGTCTGGCTTGAATGGGACTTGCAGTGTGTCTTGCATATCCGTTTTAAAAGTCATGCTTGGTGGGAGTTTGGAGCATTTGCATTTGCTCTAATAAGACAGCACAGAGGCAGCCTTTTTTAATGCCATGCAGAAAATAACTGCAGTACGACTGCCTACTGTTCGTCTGAGAGATAGTGAATTATTTTCAATTATGCAAGTTGTTTATTTCCAATTGAAATAGGTATGTCAATTCCTGCTGTGTTCAGTTTGCTTTACCGTGATGCATGTTATATGCAGCTGCTGGGAGTGTACAGCATGAGGAGAAAACAATCAGTGTTCAAATTTGAACTTTATTTCACTCCTGAAGAGACTCGTTGCATAAACAGGATGTTACTGTATTTAGCAAATAGCTGCAATCATCACACTGGGTGAGACTTATATCCCCTTTAGTTTTACAATGGAGGATGGGTCCAGTTAACAGCAGCGCAATATGAGGGCCAACTGAGAGCTTATTAGAGTTTTCTCAACTAAATGAGCCATAACATGGCAAATAGCTGTGTTGTGCAACACAACATCACACTGCCTCACTAAATGTAATGTGATTGTGTTTATTTAACTGCTCTGCAAGCCAGCTTGTCTAACCTTGAGGCTACCAGTGCCCATACTGAATCGAGAACACTGGTGCTAAGTACTAATAAAAAAAGGCCTCAGGTCAGAAAACACTTCAAATTAAGCCTTTAAAGAAGCAGTCTGCATAGGTCCACATCCCCCACATGCCTTCTCTTGTTACACGTTAGGAGCAGCAGGGATTTAAGAACAAGGAAATGAAAATTATACTTTTTTGTTCGCGGCACGTGGCTCAGACCAAGGCCAGAACTTTAGGAATATGATCTAGTGGGATTTCCTGCAGCGATCTGACAGGTGCGGACTGTTTTACACTTCACTGAAAAGGCAGAATACCTCATCCTCAGATCACAGATCAGACTGCTCTCTGCGTCTGTGTTGCTTCTTCTGCTTGGTGCTTCACAACATTTTGTCTCATGGCATCAGTTAATAAACAACATGCTCGTTTGATATTGACAATTAGCAGGGTTCCTCTAAATGATGCATCTAAAGTCGGGATATGAATGTGCACAGTTCTGGTTTGAAGTCTGTGACTCTCTGTGCAGCCTCCACTCTGAATCGCTGCCATAGTGACCATATGGCATTGCTATTATTAGGTGGATTATAAGATGAAGTCAACTATACAACCACTTCCTTACCTCTGTGAAAAAAAAACATTCATTTTCATTTCATCTAGAGATACATGGCATATTTTGACAGCAGCCCTGCTGGTTTGTACAGGTCTGTCTATATTCTAAAGGTAAGTGCTTACATGGATTTGTCCTCAGTAATAGTGTGCTTAGCTTGAGAAATTTTAATATATTTGACATGACTTTAAAAAAAATCACAATCATTAAAGGACAAAACAATAAACTGCAAATATTCAGCTGTCTGCACTGTCCTATCAGAAAACTGTAGCATGCTGTGATACAGTACAGCAGCATGGCGTGTCAAGGGTTTCTGTGAATGAGCCTCATTACAGTGCACAGAAACACATCCATGACCAGATCTAAATATTACTTGTGGTAATTGCCGTTAAATAATTGGGCAAATTGCTTAACAACTGCTCAGAAGTAGTAAAAATAAAATAAATGGCCCAGTTTTTACAATGTGTGCTTGGTCGTTCTACAAAAGAAATATATAATAAACTGTGTTACCTTACTAGAATCTGTGGTGTGTGTGTTTGTTTGTGTGTGAGAGAAAGACAAGAAGAAGTCAGGTAAGTGTTTTTGATATTTCCAGACAAACTATTAAAGCTGCAGTAGGTAACTTTTATAAAAATAACTTTTTGTCATATTTTCTGAATCTTTCACTATATCCTGACAGTAGTACATGAGACAGATAATCTGTGAAACAATCAGGTTCCTCTGGCT